CACAGCGAGGTTAGACAGCAGGATCACACTGGATCACAGCGAGGTTACACACCTGGATCACAGCAAGGTAAGGCAGCAGGATCACACTGAATCGCAGCGAGGTTAGACAGCAGGATCTCAGCGAGGTAAGGCAGCATGATCACACTAGATCACAGCGAGGTTAGACAGCTGGATCACAGGAGGTTACACACCAGGATCACAGCGAGGTTACACACCAGGATCACACTGGATCACAGTGGGGTTACACACCAGGATTGCACTGGACCACAGCAATGTTATGCACCAAGATTACAGCGAGGTTATACACCTGGATCACATTGGATCACAGTGAGGTTACACAGCAGGATCACACTGGATCACAGCAAGGTTACACACCTGGATCGCAGAGAGGTCACACACCAGGATTGCAGTGAGGTTACACACCAGGATAACAGCAAGGTTACACAACAGGATCACACTGGATCACAGTGAGGTTATACACCAGGATCACAGTGAGGCTAGACAGCAGGATCACACTGGATCACAGTGAGGTTACACACCAGGATCACAGCAAGGTAAGGCAGCAGGATCACACTGAATCACAGCGAGGTTCTACACCAGGATCACACTGATCACAGCAAGGTTAGACAGCAGGATCACAGCGAGGTAAGGCAGCATGATCACACTGGATCACAGCAAGGTTAGACAGCTGGATCACAGGAGGTTACACACCAGGATCACACTGATCACAGCGAGGTTACACACCAGGATCACACTGGATCACAGTGAGTTTACACACCAAGATCACACTGGATCACAGGGAGGATACACACCAGGATCACAGTGAGGTTACACACCAGAATCACACTAGATCACAGTGAGGTTACACACCAGGATCACAGCGAGGTTACACACCAGGATCACACAATCACAGTGAGCTTACACACCAGGATCACAGCGAGGTTACACACCAGGATGACACTGGATCACAGCAAGGTTACACACCAGGATCACACTGGACCACAGAGAGGTCACACCGGGATCACAGGCCAATCACACTGGATCACAGTGAGGTTTACACAAGGATCATGGCCTGATCGCACTGGATCACAACCCGATCACACCAGAATTGCAGCCTGATCACACTGGATAACAGAGATGATCAGAGAAAGGTTACACTAGGATCACAGTCTGATCAGTCAGGACAGGCCCTGATTTGGATTACATCATGATAACCTGCCCTTTGGGATTCAGATCACCTCAGCGCTGAAATCTACACCACACCTTGGTCAGTCAAGAGACAGGCAACACCACATTCAGATTACACCCAGATCAATCAGGATGGAGGCCTGATACCAAATCACACCCAAACACTCGTCCTCTGGATTCTGGACCAGAGTCTGGATATGGCGAGGTCCTGGGATCCAGAACATGTCTGAATCACCCAGGCTCAGAACTGGATCACAGTTAGGAGACAGGCCAGTCCCTGGGATCTGAATCACACATACTCAACTCAGGATCACACGCAGGTTACCCAGACATCGGAATCTGGATCAGTCCTGGATCAATCATTAACAGATCCGGATCAGATTAACACACAGAGGTCTGGATTCAACCCGGCTCATTCACACAGCAGTAGACAAACAGCTATGGATTTTGTGCTTACGTCCCCATGTGGAGGCACACCCTCACCTTATTGGAGTTTCGCACCCATGCTCAGTCATCCTTCAGAGATGTACATCAATCTTCTCGAAATTTTCCATTTCTCCCACTCAAGGTGCTGCTTCTTACAACAACAGGAGGAGGCAGAAAATGGAGGATGTCCTTGCAGTCATTACTTCCTCGACTGCTGTGAAGACGACAGCCTGGTAGATCAGCAAGCTGGCAGAGTCAATGTGTATTGGCAACAGAGAGATGGGGCTCTCCCACATAGCTGCCATGCTGCCAATTTGTCCATAAAATCACTGACTGAAATATTAAAGTCTGTGCATTGTTGACTTGAATAATTTTTTCTTGTTAATTCTAAATAAGCTGCTTCATCTCCTATATGCCTCCTCAGAGGGAAGTGTAGCCTTTGAGGAAGCACCATCAATCATGCTCAACTTTAACTGTGCTGACATTCACTCCTTAGTGGAGGCTCCAGTCAAAATACCTGGGGTCATATATTGCAGGAGAAGGTGGTGGAATGGGGAAAACCAGCAAAGGGTCCTCATTGAAAGTCTCAGGACATTTGCAACCTCTGTTCAACTTAACCTTAGGGATCATGCATGAAGAAGATATTGAACAGGGAATCTGTGTCAGCATTCCAGGGGCAGTGCACACCTTGGGAAAGAGATTTGAGGAGGCCCTTGAAATAACTCCACAGAGGCTGGTATCCCATCACTGGGTAACCCTTTGTTTACACGTGAAGAGTCCTTGACAGTGATCCAGCTCCCTCAGAGCCAGCTCTCAGAGTGAACAGAACCTCTGATACTCCTGTCTATATTTGTCAGCCAGGGGTCCCTGATCAGACAGGATGAGCAGCCTCAGATCTTCGGGTAAACATCCTCCAAGGCGGACTTTGGAATACACAACAACACAGAGTCAGCGAGCAGAGGCTGATAGCCAAGCTCGGTACCCATGAGGACAGCCTCAACCGGGATCTTGGGTTCATGTCACACTACAGGTGATCCCACCACACTATATTCTCTCACTCACATAAACACACTTATAGGCAGTCACACTGTCGCACAGATCCTTTCTCATATACACACTGTCTCTCTCACACACACATTCTCACATAGATACTCTCTCATTAACACACTGTCTCTTAAGCACAAGCACACACTCTCTCTCTCTCACACACACACTCTCTCTCCAACACGTGCACGCACATTCTTTCTCTCTCTCTTTCTCTCCCCCTCACACACACACACTCTCGCGCCCCCTCACACACACACACTCTCTCCCACACAGGCTCTTTCTCTCTCTCTCCTACCTTACACACACATGCACACACACTCTATCTCCCCCCTCACATACACACACATGTGAATCTATGTGGTGAATTTGTATTTACAGATACATTCTATTTTGTTCAAAAAGCACACAATTTATAGACAGTAAGTCAATGTGGCGTTTGAGAAATTCCTACTTTAGAAATAAAACCAGTCTGACTCCAAACCAAAACACAAACAGATTCTAAACAAGGCCTCGCACCTAATATGCCTTGTCTGACATAAAATGTCACCTCTTCTTTACACTGATAAAACTTTTAGTTCAGTCAGTACAGTGACTTGAAAGGAATTCAGAGATTTACATATACATATTAATCAATTAAAGCCCACTAACTGATTAAAGATTTAACAGTATCTTAGGTTTGTTTAATACATCCTCATCAGTGGTGTGACCCTTTGATCTTTTACTTATAAATTCTGTGTCAGATACTACCTCTCTCACTAACACCTGAAGAAGGAGTGAGGCTCCGAAAGCTTGCGTTTTCAAGTATACCTGTTGGACTATAACCTGGTGTCATGTGATTTCTGACTTTGTCCAACACAGCACCTCCATATTGTAGACATTTGACAGGCTTTGAGAAATCATGAGGTAAATCACAGACAAGAGGGAGAGGTGAATTGAATAATTTTCACTGTTACCTTCCATCCATATCAGATGCGTAACTTTAATTTTTTTCTGTTTTATTTCCTTTTAAAATTGGCGGTTATATGTTCTTTCAAACCATGTCATAGTAAATTCTTTAGGGTCAATGCAAGTTAGAGTTTATTATTGCATTTGATAACTTTACTGATTATTACTGCAATCTGGGGAATGGTTTGCGGCGTATACACAAACGCTTGCATCCAAGAAGAAAAGGAAAGAGAAAAGATTAAACCAGTTGGGACGCTACTTATTTCAATTTAGAAGAATGAGAGGTGATTTCATTGAAACATATAGGATTCCTAAGAGGTTTGACAGGGTAAATGCTGAGAGGATGCTTCCATTCATGGGTAGTCTCAGAATAAAGGGGCACTAATTTAAGATATGAGGAGGAATTTCTTCTCTTAGAGGGATGTAAGTCTTTGGAACTCTTTGCCACAGACAGCTGTAGGGGCAGAATGCGTATGTATATTTAGGGCTGAAATAGATAGATTCTTGATCAGTTTGGGAATCCAGGGTTATAAGGAAAAGGCAGAAAAGTGGATGTGAGCGGTTTTGGATCAGCCATTAACCTATCAAATGGCAGAGCGGACTTGAGGGTTTGAATAGCTTACTATTCTATTTCTTATAGAATGTGAAGTAAAGTGGTCAGAAATTAATTAAAATCAAATATATCAGAATTAGTTAATGTGTATGAGAGAGTCCAGTAAGTCAGTTTCCAGTTAAGGTTTTTTTTCTATTGGCTATGCACAGAAGTCTGTTTCACAGAAGCTCAGATGGATTCAAATGGCTGGTGAAGGTGTAGTAGTTGTAAGCTAAGTATTATTACACTTAACAGGCAAAACACAGGTTTCTTTCCACAGACTTTTGACAGATATTGAGATCAGAGGTATGCGTTAAACTAATCCTGGAGCTGCTTAGTGTTCTGGTGTTACAGACTGACTGGAATTCCCTCCTGAAGGGCACATGTACTACAAAGGTTCAAGAAGGCAGTTAACCATCAACCTCTCAAGGACAACAAGGTTGGGCACTAAATGCTTGCTAGCCAGTGACACCCACGTCCCACCACTGAATCTCCCACTATCAATAAAAAAACAAACAGAAGTCAAAGCTGTAGAGTTAAAATGGATTCAAACAAAGTAACAGTTTCAGTCATTTGACTATGAAGTCATAGGACTTCAGGGTGAGATTCTCAGTGAGGAAGGTGGATTTGATGAACCCTTATCAGATTGTTCTGTAGCAGGTGAATGTTAAATATTTCCATTGAGTAAAGCAACAATAAGTTTGATGGTCTCCTTGTTCAGAACTGACTGAGGTAGACATTTCATCTACTGGTCTTTTGTTTTTTTTGGCTGGAATGTTTATACAATGCGAGGCGTGTCACACATTCCAGAAGGTGATAAGCTTGATTTTGAACTTATAATTGATTAACATTTCTAGAAGGAGTCAAATTGCTTGTTTGGTGTTCAGTTGCAATCATGCCATTAATAGTCCATTTAAACAAAAGAAAATTAACCTAGAAAATAATTTTTAAAAACATGATTTAAACCTCTTTCTTCCTACCCTCAAGGAGTCACCATTACTGTCTGAAAATTCTTCTGACCAGCTCTTATAGCCACTGTATACGGCTGTACCAGTTCAGTTTCTGATCAGCAGCAACCTCCAGGATGTTGATAGTGGGAGATTCAGTGGTGGTAACGCAATTGAATGTCAAGGGATGATGGTTGTATCCTCTCTTGTTTAAGATGGTCATTGCATGACACTTATTTGGCATGAATATTGTCCAAGTCTTACTACATTTGTACACAGACTGCTTCATTATCCAAGAAGATATGTATGGTGATGAACATTGTGCAATCACCATGAGCATCCTGACTTCTGACCCTACGATAGAGGGAAGGCCATTGATGAAGCAGCTGAAGATGGTTGGACCTAGGGCACCACCCTAAGGAACTCTTGCAGAGATGTCCTAGGGCTGATCTTCAATAGGCTCAACTGTCTTCTTTTGTGCCCCCTGATTCCCATTGGCTCTAGTTTTGCTAGGGCTCCTTGATGCCACATTCAGTCAAATGCTACCTGGATGTCAAGGACAGTCACTTTCGCCTCATTCTGGAGTTCATTTCTTTTGTCCATCTTTGTAGCAAGGCAGTTATGAAGTCAGGAGCTGATTTGTCCTGGCAAAATCCAAACTGACCATCAGTGAGCAGGTGTTGTTGAGTAACTGTCACTTGATTGCACTAATGGTGCCCCCTTCCATCACTTTACTGATCATTGAGAGTAGATCAATAAGGCAACATCTTGCTAGCATAGATTTGTCCTTTTTTTTTGTGGACAGGACATAGCTGGGCAATTTTCCATATTGTCAGTAGATGCCAGTGTTGTAGCAGTACTGAAACAGCTTGGCTTGGGGCATGGCCATCTCCAGAGTATAAGTTTTGAGTACTTCTACTGGTACTTGCTCAATGATTGCCATTGTGCCCGGAAGGAGCTGGAGATGGAAAATATTCTGGGTTGTGATGACCTTGATGACCACTGGCAATTCATTCCCACCTGATCTACTGAGAAGGAGGTCATGTTTCAAAAAGATGTAAATTTCAACAATGACCTGTTACAGAAGCTGGGCCTCCTGAGGCACTGTTGGTTTGTCATGTTGTGGAAGTTGATGCTGTACCTGTGGTAGGGGGTTACTGCTTTCTTCGAACTGGAGCTCGCGTCCACGCCTTTTGTCCTCTGGAGTGACATGTGGTTGTAGGGAAGGCAGCTGTTGTTGCAGTTGCTGGTGTTGGCCGTAGCTGCTTTCATTGTTCCTCAAGAGATCCCCGTAAAAATGGCAGCATAAACTATTCCCATCCTCCTCCAGTGAAGACCAATAGCAGGGAAGTGCAGATAAAACTGAAATGACTTCCAAAAGTTTGAATTCATATATGAATCTCTCAGAACACATGCTGTGAGCGGACACTTTTCACACAGGCAGGCCGCAGCTATATAGTTCCACATTTTAAATGCTTTCCAGCCTGTCAGTTTTATTTGACTTTCCATTGTGCTTTTGACTTACTGACCTTGGTAAATTCCTTGCAGCTTAGAAAACCCTTTGCTCTGGCTGATAAAGGCAGAATTCTGGAATAAGTTGTCAATGAATTGAATTATCAAATTTTTAAATAACTTAAACCAATGTTTCCACAAGGTTTTCCCTTTGCCTCAAAATTTGTCTCAGTAAAAGACTGAAATAGGCAGGATCATGCTGGGTTTCTGACATGCCAACATTTTTTGGAATACTTAACACACGTGCTCACTTCTAAGCCTAGCTTCTGGCCACAGTGGGGCCAGTCTAATGTCAAGAAGACCTTGTGTTGGCAGCATGTTGGCC